CTCTCTCTCTCTCTCTCTCTCTCTCTCTCTCTCTCTCTCTCTCTCTCTCTCTCTCTGTGTGTGTGTGTGTGCCTCCCCGTTAAGGTCTTAGATTCGTAACAGGGAGAGAGAGAAGTTTTGGGATGAAAGGAGGGGGAAGAAGATGGTTTTTTACTCAAATGAACCACTTGGATCGCACTTATTTCACGTGTACACCAGAAAAAACATAACACATTAATTTTTTTTGAAAAGACGAAATTACTCTTAATGAATATACGATTTTTATCCGTTCGAAAACAACTTCGTTATTACGACTTCGTAATTAATTCTAAAAATGGTGACAAAAAAGTTACAATTGATTCTAAAAAAGGTGACAAAAAAATCATTTGTCTTATTTTAGTTGTATATTAGTTATATGTTAGTCGTAATAAGGTCGCAAAAAATAAAAAGAAAATGGTATTTCGGACTTTTTCAACCGAAAAGTGGGTTAAAATTGAAAAAAAAATAATTCGGTGGTGTACGCTGAAATAGGTGTGACCCAAGTGGGTCATTTGAGTGATTTTCCCGGAAGAAGAGGGCAAACTTCACCATTACCCCTAATGCGTCGCATATGCACCCCAAAACATAAGGAATTAACAAAAGACAAAGATGCCCTTATAAAAGTTGGAAAAGTCTTTGTTGCCCTTAATGAAAATGAGATTGTGAGAAAAAACACGTGTGCGAGTAGGTGAAAGTCCACCAGATTTGCCAGGGGCCCATTTGCCAGAGTAGAAAGGGAAAAAAAAGAGTTGGGGTTTTTTACTGTCCTTTCGAAAACAAACAGAGAAACACCGAGAGAGCGGGCCAAGTACGAAAATTTTCAGAAATCTGGCGAAATCGAGCGAAATCCACCGAGATCGAGCGTAGAAGGGTCACATGGAAGTGATTCATCTTCGTCAAGTGGCGAAGCCTCACATGGAAATGATTCATCAGGGTCGTTCGAAAAAACAGATTCGCATAGAAAAAGGACCGAGGATTCTTCTCCGGATTCAGATGTGAGTATTTTTTTTTCTGAAGTACTTGAGAAGGACTAAGGATTTGTTCTTGGTATATGGCGGATTGGAAGACGAGCTCGCTATAAAGGGTTATACCGATGCTAGTTTCCAAACCGACAGAGATGACTTCAGATCGCAGTAGATGAATGTACATCTATTTTATCAGTCGGTTTGCCTAGACGAGTAAGCGGTTGAACTTGAAGGGTGGCTCATACCATGCCCTTGTTCAACATACGACATCGTGATACAAAGGATCAGAACTCGAACTATTGCTGGCTTTGTTAGATCACCTCTAACTCTATTCTAGGTGGGTAGTCATGGCGTCTTGTTAGAGGCTAACCATGACTTGTGGTTCGGGAAAGG